AATCAAATAAAAGAAATAAAACTAAATAAGAGTAGATATATAGCATAAAAACTACACATAAAAAACAGTTATATGAGAACTTAACTACTGTGTGTTCTAATCTGTATAACAATGGAATTTAATGAAGGGAGCTAATATCCTGAAAAATTTGTAAATAAAAATGTTTATTCTTCAGTTTATATTATGGAGTCAAATATTGTAAAGAATGTGATATTGTTACATTGTTATGTTAATGTGTATACATTCAATCAAATTATTATGAAGTTGCATAATAAACTGTTGTTCAATAAAAAATAGCTGCCAGTAATTTACATTGTAAAAATGTAAATTGCCAGCAGTCATATTTTATTGAACTATATGTTTTGATTTATGATATCCATCACCAGATGTTTTTAAGCAATTTACATGTTATTGCAGAGGCACAGTCTCTAATAAAAGGTCATCACTGTAAGTGAAATTTTACATTTTGAATTGTCAATGGTGACTGTGAAAAGACAGATTATGAAGAAAAAATTTTTATTTGTACTCTTCAATATTTTTACAAAAAACTATTGTCTTTTGTTTGTGATTAACATTATTATTGTTGTCATTTCACTCATTTTCAGCCTCTAGTATAATGTAAATTTAAATATGTTACAATTAAATTTTTATGTTGCAGAAGTAATAGAAGAGATTACTATGCATAAATATTAATTTTATTCATCATTGTTGAGTTTTATCATTTTCCCAAATCCCTATTTTGTCTCAATTTTAGGCTGAAATTTGCTAGTTTCTGAGAAAGTAAGAAATAGGAGTCCTACTGTATTGAAAAATAACAAGAAAATTGTAAAGAATCCTCTCTCGTGTGAAAGAGAATATGATTCACTGTTTAAAATCTAAAAATTTTTCATAGAAGACAATTGAACTCACTCAAGCTCTTCAATAGCTAAAATAGTGAACTTCAGTAGTATTTCTTTCATTATCTGCTTATGCTAAGAAATTTAAAAAAAATCATAAAAAGCTGGATTATTTGTCATCACTAATGCAAAAGACATTATTAATAAAAAAAATAATAGAAGAACAGTATAAACATAGAATTGGTTTCAAGCCCCTCCAAAGCTACCAAAACATGCAGATGCTGAAGTCCCTTTTAACAAATAGTAGAATGTATGCATAAAACATACACACATCCTTTAAATCATCTGCAGATTACTAATACTACCTAATAAGTAAATAGTTGTTATACTGTATTGTTAAAGAATAATGACAAGGAAAAAGCTATACATGCTCATTACAGACCATTTAAGTCTACACGACACACATCAGCAACAATGTAACTCTTTCTTTCAACACTTAGGGGCTGTCCATAAATGACATTCACACTGGACAGGATGGAAATGGTTATGACAAGTCGGATAAGGGAGGTTGAACTTCAACGGATGCCAGATTTATTTCATTAAATTTTATATAGTTTATGCATTTTATTATTCATAAAGTGATAAAGATTTTAATTAAAAGGAGAATGAGTTTTGTTGAACATCCAAAGAGGGGGATGGAAACTTGGACAAACTGGGGCAATGAAGGGAGGGAGTAAACATTTCAAGAAAAATATGGATGTAATTTATGGACATCCCCTTACATCTTGCTTTTATTTGATGACCTGGAAGAGTAATACACAGAAAAAGCATAGGATAAAGTACAAGCAAATTAAAGTTTTGCTTTTTGAAATGTTTTTCAAATATTTTCAATCTGCAGATGAGTAGTTTGTGGATACAAAAGGTTGACAGTACTAAATTTCATAACAGTGCATTGAATTTCTTACATTATTTCTATTAGTATCAATAAAAAATATAATTTAATAAAATTTACTGCTGGGACAACAACTATAAATTTGGAAAAATTAACAAAAATTTCCTATGGACAAACTGTAATGGTGTCCTTGCTTTCTGTCCCTTTGCTTTTTGCCACCACTAAAGTATATTTTGTAACTTACCATTTTGCATGCCAAGATGGGGAAGTAGCCTCCAGATAAAGGTCTACTCCACTGCAAGAATTGTTATTTCCTGCTGTTGTACAAAGGAATAGAAATCAAGGAGGACCATTCATCCTAGGAAATTTTTGTTAATTTTTCCAAATTTATAAAAAATATAATGTTTCTGATGGTGCATTTTGCAATTGATCTTTTTTGTACCATTTACGAATAAAATATAAAACTGTAAACCACATAACTTGAAAAGCAAGGAGAAAAAATGTTAGAATAAAAATCAAACTTTAGCTGTAACAATAATGTACTTTAAAAAATAATTTGTGGTCACCCATCATTTAATTTTGATGGAGTAGACTCGACCAATTAAATTATCTATATTATTATTTCATAAATTTGCTAATATGCTTATTTGTATAAAATTTCTTTGAAAGAACTAGCAAGTTGTTTTTATTAACCTTATTTTCCTATGTCAGTTTTAAAAAAATGACAGATAACTACAACTTTTGTCAGGTATAGTACATTTACGCAATCCATAAGTAAAAAATAATTCATATCTTTATCATTATTACAAAATTTTATTTGAATCTGATGATAATTAGGAGTTGATAATTCCAGCATAGTAATTCACTAACAAACAAGTTTGCAGTACCAAAGAATTCATCATCTCTGATTACATCTAAATTGCATTTATAAAAAAATATGAAATTTCTTAACATTTTACTAAATTCTGTTTCATATGAATGGATAGCTGAGCAGTTAAAGTTGCAGCCCACTGCTCCATAGGACCCAGGACTGAATTCAGGGTTGAAAAACCTCAAGAATTTTTCAAGGGGTGGTCCTTCTGGGCATGTCAGAGCCAGTTCCTCATCATCTGGGTATGCCATTGTGGGCCTGAATAAAACCATAATGGGCTTGCTAAAAAGTGCTCACAGGATGGAGAAAGTTAAAAAAAATTCTATTTCATGATTACTTTCAGTTCAGTAAAATTAGAATCAATCAATGTTCATAGCAGCTTATTTCATTTTTTTGATTTTTGTTTTTCTCCAATCCATCAAGTATTTTTAAAATGTTAAAAATTAATCTCAATTATAGAAAATTTTAATCAATTTCTTTCTTTTCTTCACTAAAACGTCACCTTCAAACTAGATAAGTAAAGCTTAAAATTAGCTAATCTTATTTAATGAAAAATAAGGCCTTTTAGTGATATGATATGTCTCAATATTTTACATACAGGTTGAAATAATGTGATGATTCTGATAATTTTATATTCCAAACTGATTCAATCAATGCAATGTAAGTCCACAATCAGTAAATGTTATATACAAGAACCATATTATTGTACAAAATGTCACTGGGTAATAGCACAACAAAGTTAGTTCACATTACTAATTACTAATTCATGATACTGTAAGTTGGTATATTTATTAACTAATACTATATATTTTAATAACTATTTCATAGAATAACATAAACTGGAGAATATTAGAAAGTTCTGTAATATATACTGACACTTAAGAAAGTCTGCTTTTTATTTTCTGATGAATTAGTTTTAGAAGTAACAAATTTTAAGAAAAATGTTAACTTTATTGCTGATTTTCTATAATTGTGGGTTCAATATACAACTAGCACATTAACAATTAACATTAGAATTGTAAGACTTCACAACAAGCCTAAGCACTTCATAAATTTATTACACTTAAAAATTTTGTAAAGTTTACTTCAGTATTTTTAAGCAATTAAATCATATTTTTATAAAAAGAATATATGACAACATAATTTATATGAAAAATATTTTCAAGTTAATACTCATCTTCAGTGGAATTTACAACTCAAACTTGAATAAAGATCACTTATTTTGAATATAAATTATTGGCATTACAAATTTTTAAGAATGATTCAAATAAGTAAAATTTATTTGCTATTAAAGTTATTAATAAAAATGTAATAGTTTTTCATCTAATGTATCAATGTGTAGCATTTCAAAGATGTTTAATCGGTATAGAAGTAACTTCAGTAAATAAAAAACTCACTATAAAAAAAATCAGAAATTTTAGGTGAGGTTTAACCTTCAAAATTTCTCCTTTGATCCTACAAAGAGCAACATGATAAATGGAAAGTGTATTGAAGACATGAATTACTGTAAAAATAAATTTAAAGCTGTTAGGAACACCAAAGAAACCATAACTCCAGCAAAATACACAAGAATTTAACAAATAAACGTTTTCAATACCTTTAAACTATCGTCCTCAGATTAAGAACAGTGTTCAAGAAGCAAATAAAAATTTGTACATCAATTTTTAAATAATGGTAAGAGGCCATACAATCAGATGTGAGTGTAATGATGTAGCATGGCGGAAAAATTATAAAAGGACCTTAAATAAATTCGGCTTCTTTGGCATTTCTAGATTAATATTCAGTTTTTTGAGTCAGATTTAAAGTTATTAATATTAAAAAAATTTCGGTACAGATTACTTTTAGGTGATTTTTGTAATACATACGTAATACACGTGTGTACACACACAAATTACCTAAAAGTAAACTTCTATTAAAATTTCAATATGAAATTTGAAAAAATTGAATTATTTATTTCAATTTTCTTTCAATAAATTATCGAAATTTATACAATAATAGCTTCAATAATGGTATTTATTTTTCCCAAGTAAAAATTCTGCATTATAAATTTATAAGAATTAATACAAGAAAAATGCTCCTTTCAGTGTTTCGTCACTCCATACGTCACACAAATTATTTAAAAGACGATAAAAGAAACAATAAAACAAATATAAAACATTAGAATTAATAACAAATAAATAAAACGATAAAAACATTTCTTAACTTTTTCTACAAATAAATACATTTTGCTGATGTTAGGCTTAAACAGTAGAATATATAAACGAACATATTTATCAAATATAGACAAATAACGTTTTATTTAATTATAAAATATACTTCTTTGTTCTTTTTTCCATGTTATTCGCTTAGTTTACGTCATTAAAAAGAATGAAATATTTGAAAAAATTATATTTAAACTTACCTCGACACTGCACGACACTGACGACATGCCGCCATTTTTGTCGCTCTTGGCCAATAAATAAAATTTTCGAAGTAGTCAGTTTTTGTTGATATATTTATTTATTAATATTTGTCTATTTACAAATTAAATTTATTTTTATATACTTTTACTTCTTATAAAAATTAATTTATTAATTCATTTAATATTCGAACATGATTTGAAAACAAATATTTTCGTTTATTATATATTTTCCCGATTTTTAAATTTTATTTTACAGATACAGAAATAAAAGTGAGTAAAATTTAAATATTTTTGTTTAATATATTTTTTTTAATTTAATCTTTATATATTCTAACTATAGGGTTTCTTCTGGCTCATTCGCTCTACGAGTTTCCAATATAGATTATTCGTAACAAAAATTTCATGATGATTCTTCGATTCCCGGTGCCATCGTTTCCACTTTTTATTTTATTTTATTTTTTACGGGACGTAAAAACGTTCCTGACAATTTTGAGCTGTACTTTATATATTGACGGCCGGATGATGAGCAGTCAAAGTGGCAACCTACCGCTTTGAGGGACCCGTGATCGAATCCGAACGGGTCGAAAAATCTCCAGGAAATTTTCGGGGAGTGGACCATCCCGATATATCGGGCCCTGTCCCTCACCACCCGGCCGCTCCATTATGGGCCTGGCCAAACCCATAATGGGCTTGCTAAAAGAGGCCCTTTTAGTATCCACAGGGTGGAAAGAGTTTTAAAAATGCTGTATTTTATATATACAGTTGAACCCCATTTCCACGTTCTTCAGTTGTACGTTTTTCGCAATTATACGTTAAATATTTTCTCCATTAAAAACATTTCAGTTATACTTAGAAGTGTAGTCCTAAATTAAAAAGTGCCAGGGAGCTAACCGAATCTCTGAGTTTGAATCGCCACAGTCTATGGGATTTTGTACGGGCAAGGCGCAACTTTTTGGAGCAAAACAGCTTAAAGGCGTCAAAACTAATCTATATATTCTTAATCAGCGCAAAAATTTGGACAACTATGCAAGAAGTGATTTTCATAATTTTTTTACTCGGTACATAGTCTAAAAAGATGTTTACAAAGGAGAGGAGCTTAGCCCTGCTTTAAAAATTATCATGGCGCCGCCCTGGTACGCCCTGGCATGACTACGATGCTGGATTTATTGTAATTATTTTTACACTAAATATGAATATTATGTACAATATATATATATATATGTATGTATATATATGAAAGACCAATTCAAGCAGGGTGACAATGTTTTTTTAGGGGTATCTTATAATTTGGATAACAGCAATTTTCAGTTCTGGTTTAATTTCTATTTATTCCGATACTTCCACTTTCATCTATGGTCTGATCTATACGCTGATATAGCAAAAAGAAAAAAAAAACACTTATACTTTTAATAATAAATTAATTTTCAAATATATTTAGCCTATATCATACCAAATTTCCAAATCTTTTTTAAAGTAAAATTCCTACTTGTAAACAGAAAAATTCGTCATAAATTGACTATTGATTCCATTGCAAACTTACAAAATTGTTAAATTAATGTAAATTGTGATTACCAGAGTCTTTTCTGCCTCTAATTTACAGGTTTTAATCATTAAAACTAGCGTTTCCACTTCCAGGGACGAGAACCCAGGGATTAAATTTGTGGGAAGCAAGTGTTTGGGTTATTTCATTTTTTGACTTATGCTGAGTGAGGAGCTTGACGTGTATGTGAATGAGCGCGAGGTTAGAGTAAGCATTAAACATATATATCTTCGTGTATAGTGATGTTATATCTGTGCGTGAACGTTCCTACAACATCTTTCGGCAAGTTTAAAAAACGTAATAATAAAAACAGTAAATTATAATATAAGAATAGAATATGTAAAAAAATTAAACAAAAGATGTTTACACTCTGAGAGTTCGGAAAAAATTGACTTATGTGAAGAATAGTCCTCTTCATGATAAGGATGAGGGAGAGAAGAATTTCCCATGAACGTTCCTGCAAAAAACAGACAATGGGGAAAGGAATAACTCGAAATGCATATTGCCTAATTATTATTATTCAATGTGTCAATGTATATTCTAAATTAGCTAAAGTTTCTTCTGAAAGACTAGCATGTGTCTCAATGGGTTTGCAACGCAAATAAATAATATATTATTTATATTCATAAACACGTGATTCCGTGAGAAGAATGTCCTATTCTTCTTGTGTGGACGAGTCTTGCAGTCACAGAAAGAGAAAAAATGATCCTTAATTAGCATTTCAGTTTGTACAATTTCATGTACTGTCAAATGAAATCGACTATAATTTATTCTCATATTAACTATTAGATATAGCTTAGTATATTAAATCTTTCATTTTCATTCTGTAGATTTATATTGTAGTCACCAATTATAAACAACCTTTACTGGCTGTAATTTAGTTAACAACAGATATACAGATCGCATAATAAAAAATTCATCAGTATTTGATCCAGGTATACAATATATAATCGGTCATTCTTCCCATGTTTTTCTAATAATCGAATATATCCAAAAAATATATTAGAAATTAATCTCTAAATATATCCTCTAAAGAATAAATTATTGATGATTCGTTAACTGAGGATACTAGATTCAAGATCGGGTCAAAATTCGGAATTTTTCACAGGAAATTTTGTTCAGATATGTCGGATTCCGTCATTTACCATGCAGCCACCCCTTATAAGTCTGGCTAAACCCATAATGAGTATAGTTAAAGTCCTCTTAATAGCTATGTGGCATCTCCCATCCATCAGGTACAATGATCACCTCTTCTGTGCCTAACAAGTGCAGGAATCACTTTTTTCTTTCCGGCTCCGCCTCAATTCTATCCAGATACGACAATGTCGGGTGATGTCCTAGTGTTAACGTTTACAGTACAGGAACAATTGCAAAAATACTAAGTAAAGGCATACCTTTTATACACACAGTTATTAGTTTAGAGGTCTCAGTGTTGGATTACCCAATAGGAGCAAGCCTAGAACCTCCTCGTCTCGAGGGGACCTCAAAAATTAAATAGCAGAAAGATGATATGACTAAAAATTTAGCTAACGTTTAAACAGCCTTAAAAACTTATTATTTAAGGATTTTATTGTCTTTTTAATATAAAAAATAAACACTTTGGTAAAGGGTCTTATAACAAAATTGCGCGCAGGACCTTAAAGGAACACAATCCGCTATTGATCAATACTTCATACATAAAAATGTACTTTCTTATTATTCAATGTTACTTAATAAATATTTTTAAAAATACTTGTCGATATTTTTGTAAATAAGAAAATAAATTAGCAAATTTACAAAAGATAAACTTTTTAATAATATAACGAGCAATTATTTATGGTGACATAGTCACGATGCCCGGCTACAATTTTAATCAAATAAATAATTTTTCTTATAATTTAAAAATACTGTATATCTGCGCAGATAAGACGATAGTTGAATCATAAAAAAGACCCCCAAAATCCGGGGTCGTCTTATAGGACAGATACAAAAAAAAAAAAAAAAATTAGATTAGATTGATATAAATTAAAACCATTATAAAAAGCGGACAAACTGTAATTATTTACTAGTAGAGACTAGTGTATGTCCACAAAATGGAATAGCCCATACGATGTTTTTGTGAATAGTCAAGGTAACCTGAATGCCCGAATCAGTGCAAATGTTTACAACAATAGCAAGGAAATGCTGCCAAATGCAAGAAAAGAATTTTGTTCATTCGAGAAATTACGAATTGGACATAATTCCGTCTACGCTATAGTGTTATTATCCAGATGATGATCGCTGATTTAAACTAAATTCATAGGCCGTTGATAGTATGGGGGTTTTCTTATATGACAGATATATGCTAAAACTATAAAACTTTGACGAAAATTTATACCTCATTTTATCTGAAGGTCGTCTTATCTACGGTATATGCTTTCAACCTCAAATTAGTAGTGTCTTGCCCCTGTACATCATACTTTCCTGCTAGTAATAGAGTTGTGCCAGTCGTCTGTTAACTGCTTTCAGGGGAAAAGTTTGAATTGAAATAACGTGACTTCCGGTTTGCATCAGAAGTTCGTATATAGTTAATCGGGGCCTCGTGCCCCTTAGGTTTCCATATCTCGTCTCGTCTTTCATTTAACTCGGTTCTCGAGTTTAAGGAAAGACAGATGGGCGGACGACAATAGGAATTTACAGGTCTACAATTTTCTCAAATTGCAGCCCAATGAACTCGTAGCCTAAATAATAGCGGATATCTTGCTATTACGTTAGTTGTTGATATGCTGTTAAATAGTAAATAGCATATCATCAGCTAACGTAAATAACTTATTTTATTCGATTTAGGCAACGCGACACATGAGGAATATGCCTCCAAAAGAGCTTTTTATGGAAAGCCGGTCCCTATTTAGCTGTTACAAACGTGAAAAGGCCCACCAGTTCCCGTTCCCTAAACACTGGGAGTTCGGTCGTGGGTTCACGTCTCGCCAGGACAGGCTGGTCACGTGGAGTTTTTCGGGAGAAAACCCATAAAACTCCCTCTGTAACGCCTGAATAGGGGCCAGTTACCCTTAAAAAACCTCCTGAAAGGCATTCTCTCTAGACACACACACACACACACAACTCTTTTATTTACGTAATGCCGAAGTATTACATGTCTGGCACCGCTTTGCATAGCCAGTTAACATATAAAAACATTAAATAATTGAAATTACAATTACATATATTATTTTTACAGTATTATTACAATATTTTACAATATATTTTTAAGATTTTTATAAAGTATAGTTCCTATAAAGCCCATCTTTACATGAAGTCCAAAGGGCTTTGACAACATTATTCAACCACCAATAGCAAGCATTCAGATGTCCATATTACATAACCCTCTAGCTAACTTAGTTCTGATGGTTAAATTTGTATATCACGAATTCAGTTGCACAATTGCACACTATTAATAACCATATTGAAGTAAGCACTTAAATTGGTGTCCGGAAAAATTCCATTTCTCTATCAATACTTCTTCTAAGCATGTCTTCCGTGTCAGTTTTCTTTTAATTGAAAGTAAGTAAAG